CAAAATGAACTTAATATTAAACAAGTTTTTTTGTTGGACTTATTACCAAATAAATTTATAAAAAGAGACCGACCTCCAAATTTTCTAAATTAATTGATAGCAATGTGACCCTAGCAATAACATTGTTGCGATTTCTATTAAATTAACAAGTACGTAAACTGCACGTGGAAAGAGAAAGAGTCATAATCTAACAAAAATCATCACGTGCATATCATATGGCTATTAGTTTAATAGAAATTTTCAACAAACATTATAGTTAGGGTCACATTGCTATTAATTAATTTTATTACAGGTGTAATTTACAATAATTATTTTTTAAAGGTATAAATTGAGAATTTTATAATCTTTCACAATGCAAACTGCTATTTGTCCCCCCAAAAAAATTCGAAATCTAATAATTTTATTTCTTTTTCTTTTCTTTTTCCCGAAGAAAATTTAATACCAAGTCCAAAAGGTACGGCAAAAGAGGCGCGAGTTTCGCGAAACGAGGACGTCTGCCTTGCTCTTTTAGTCGTCCACCGTTGAGACTTTGTCAACCGTTTTTTAAATTTCCCCTAGCCGGTTAAGAAAAATTGTTCTCTACTTTTGGCTCTTAGTAGTAAACGTTACAACTGGCATGTGCTAGCAAACAGACTTTAACCACGTCATCAAACTTTGGAATTAAATTTAGAGCTTAAATGATATAGTAATTAATTAGTTGATATTTTTATGTAAAAATTGGAAATGAGGCCTCTAGATGTACTTGTTTGGAAATAAATCCTACAAAAAAATTTATAAGGGACTAAGTCCATATTTAAAATTATATGTAATGACTTAAGTCTATTTATTTTATCTCAAAAATACCCTTCCTTGAAAGGAAATTAATCTTTTATCTCTCATATTTATCTATATCCATATATAGGTTAAAAATTTGACTAACATTAAAATTTTTCCTTTCTATTATCTATCTATATTCATATATAGGTTAGGTATATATACAGTAACATTAAAAAAAATAGTAACATTCAAATACAAAAAAAAAAATTACTATGATTTTGAATAGTAAAATTCAAATTCATGTTCTTATTTTTTTATTATGTTATTGTTTATATTACTGTTTTTGTTGAGTATGTTACTGTTCATGTACTATTATTTTTGAATATATTACTATTTTTGTTGACCATGTTATTACTATTATTTTTTTAAATATTAATATTCAATGTTACTATTTTTTTTTTTTGAATATTACTATTTTTTGTATTTGAATGGTACTATTTATTGAGTTTGAATTTGAGAGAAATAATTATTGTTAAGTTTGCTACAATTTTTGTTAAACATGTTACTTTTTTTTGTTTAACATGTTAATATTTTTGTTGAACATGTTATTGTTGTTATTTTTTAAAAATATTAATATTGAATGGTTCAATTTTTTTTTATGTTTAAATGTTACAATTTTTTTGTGTTTAAATGTATTATTTTTTGTATCCAAATGATAATTTTTTTTTGTATTTGAATGTTACTATTTTTTATTTTTAATATTACTATATATATATACTAGTCATAACCCGTGCCTGAAGGCACGATAAAATATAAAATTCGAACGTCCAAAAAATCGATCCCACTATATTAAATTTTTTCAAAATATATTAACTATAAATTAATTAAATATTAAATGATTAAATATATGATATAAATGAGNAAATCGATCCCACTATATTAAATTTTTTCAAAATATATTAACTATAAATTAATTAAATATTAAATGAATGAATATATGATAAAAATGAGTGGTGTGATATTTTTAGGGAGGAAATATATAAATGATAAATATGTGATAGAAATGAGTGATGTGATTTGATGTTTGAGTCTGACAAATGAATGATAGGTAAGATAAGTGATTGGTGATGGTTTTGAAGGAAAAAATATGACTGAGATAAAATTCAAACACCTACCTATCTTATTATATAGATATATATATATAGATAAAAGAGAAAAAAAAATTTAATGTTAATGAGATACAAGATTTTAATGTTAATCAAACTCCTAAGATTTAAGAGTTTTTAATTTTTAATTTTATTTTACTTATAAAGGGAAGAGATAGTATAGTAAAATTGACAAAAAACGGATTTCATAACAAATAAATTTCCTTGACAGACTTAAATCCAAACAAGTCCATATAGAAGGACCGACCTCCAAATTTTTCTATTTTTATTAGGGCCCAAATAACATGACACTAATCAAAGAAGTCTAAGTCAACTGTCATGTCATTTAGACTCAAAATTTGATCCCAAAATTTGATAAATCTTGTTGACAAAAAGATTGAATTATTGGAAGGCTGACGTGGTTGGATGATTAGTTGGCCTAAAAATGGGCTCCACCTACATCTAATGATTACAATATAAATAAATCCTCAAATTACGTCTCCGTAGAATTGCTCAAAAAGAATAATAGAAGGAGATATACAAATGACTCTTATTGTTATTATTAGGGAAAATAGTAGTTTGCATTCCAAGAGATTATAAATATTTCAATTTATATCCTTAAAAATTAATTATTTTAAATTACACCCTCAATGAAATTAATTGATAACAATATAATCCCACCATAACGTCAATGTGATTTTCATCAAATTAACAGCTACATGAAAACTAATCTAAGTGATTACTTTTGTTGAATTATGACAAATTTTTCGTTTTCACGTCCGTCTTACGTGCCTGTCAATTTGACGAAAGTCGCAATTCACGTTATAGTCGGGATCACATTGCTATCGATTAATTTTTTTTGAGAGTGCAATTTAAAACAACTAATTTTTGAAGATATAAATTGATAATTTTATAATCTTTCAAGGTGCAAACAACCATTTACCCTCATAATTATGAGAGTTCAAGTGTAAACAGTGAAACTTACACTTGTGTAGAGATTAATATTTGTGGTCCCTCGAGTATGACCTTGTCATTTTGGCGTTTGAAGTTTCTGATTTGTTTCTAAGTGGTGATCCTAAAAGATTTTAACTTTTTCACTTTTTACCCTCAGAAATTAAAATTTATACATCACATCCTACATATATTAAAGTATTATAATATAACTCTTTTGTTAGTTTTTTTGTCTGTAGCAATTGACAGACAATACACGAAAGCTGACCACACACAACATTATAATACTTTTGATACATTCAAGATGCAATGTGAAAAATTTTAAACTTGTTTGGTTAGATGATTTCAAAAACAATTTTACAATATAGAAAATAGTAAAACTTGTTTGGACAGTCTATATATATATTTGAGCAGTAATTCAAGCATTAATAAAAAAAATATAAAAAAATTATTTTTATATTGACAATTTCATAACATATATATATGTGTGTGTGTGTGTGTATAGAAATATGTATATATATTCCAAAATTTTCAAAGATAACTCTGAAAACAAACTACACTTATTTTCTGTTTCTTTGATTCAAATCTCATTTTTTTTCCCAAATTTTAAAGAACAAAAATGCTAAACAAATAGATTTTTAGTGTTTTTAAAATTTTGAGAACAAAAAACTGTTTTGCAGACGCTAACCAAACACGCCCTTAATTTTTAAGAGTACAAAGGAAAAAACTTGAAATCTTTTAGTGTGCAATACGAAAAAGCCCAAAAAAAAATTTCCCACAGAGTTGTATCCCCTTGGCCTAATTCCAGAAACCATCCCTATGTATACCTTGAACAAATCAAATGAGGTAACCAGTTAAAAAACAATTCACCTCGTATATAATTACGGAGATACAAGTAAATATAGTACAAGTGAACCCAAGATCTATAAAATCCACATGAAAATGAGATACCTGGCTACTGATCTAGAAGAGGACTTCCTTCTTTAGCAAGCACAAAAAGGCCACCATCCCCTCTCGAAATACGAAGATCCTTGTCAAGATACGTGACAAGAAGCCAAGATGCTGCCCGCTCGCCTGGAATAGGAATCTTAAGAGGAGATTGGCCAGAAATAGATCTTGCTATACCTGCCACAGCATCTTGCAGAGGATTGACTACCTGCCGTGCGGGTGACAAATTGATCTTCTGCCCAAAAAGATCAATGCTCTCTGGAAGATCAACACTTGACTTGATCTCTGGAGGCTTCAGGGTCCCTTCCTTAAATTGAACCTGCAGATTTTAGCCCCAATAAATCAAGTGATACACGGTGATGGAAAACTCCAATCTGTTGAGAAATCAAGGATCATGCAAAAACTGATTTTCCAGCCAGAATTGTAAACATTGGAGAATCATTCTCAACTCCTAGATAAAGGGCATTCCAGAGTGGAGCCATTACATATATCATGAACTTCCAAAATAATGCGAAAATAATGAAATATGATTATTCTAGTATGCATTCCCAGGTATATTATTCACGAACTTTTCTAAGTTATATGTATGCAAAATCAAAATAATTTTAGTCAAGTTAACAAGTTTTTGAATCGCAACCTGTCAACAACTCGACATATGTCAATTGCATATGTTCAAAACATATAGTTAAGCTGTTCTAATCATATTGGCAGAATACAATTTTGATGTCNTGTGTGTGTGTGTGTGTATAGAAATATGTATATATATTCCAAAATTTTCAAAGATAACTCTGAAAACAAACTACACTTATTTTCTGTTTCTTTGATTCAAATCTCATTTTTTTTCCCAAATTTTAAAGAACAAAAATGCTAAACAAATAGATTTTTAGTGTTTTTAAAATTTTGAGAACAAAAAACTGTTTTGCAGACGCTAACCAAACACGCCCTTAATTTTTAAGAGTACAAAGGAAAAAACTTGAAATCTTTTAGTGTGCAATACGAAAAAGCCCAAAAAAAATTTTCCCACAGAGTTGTATCCCCTTGGCCTAATTCCAGAAACCATCCCTATGTATACCTTGAACAAATCAAATGAGGTAACCAGTTAAAAAACAATTCACCTCGTATATAATTACGGAGATACAAGTAAATATAGTACAAGTGAACCCAAGATCTATAAAATCCACATGAAAATGAGATACCTGGCTACTGATCTAGAAGAGGACTTCCTTCTTTAGCAAGCACAAAAAGGCCACCATCCCCTCTCGAAATACGAAGATCCTTGTCAAGATACGTGACAAGAAGCCAAGATGCTGCCCGCTCGCCTGGAATAGGAATCTTAAGAGGAGATTGGCCAGAAATAGATCTTGCTATACCTGCCACAGCATCTTGCAGAGGATTGACTACCTGCCGTGCGGGTGACAAATTGATCTTCTGCCCAAAAAGATCAATGCTCTCTGGAAGATCAACACTTGACTTGATCTCTGGAGGCTTCAGGGTCCCTTCCTTAAATTGAACCTGCAGATTTTAGCCCCAATAAATCAAGTGATACACGGTGATGGAAAACTCCAATCTGTTGAGAAATCAAGGATCATGCAAAAACTGATTTTCCAGCCAGAATTGTAAACATTGGAGAATCATTCTCAACTCCTAGATAAAGGGCATTCCAGAGTGGAGCCATTACATATATCATGAACTTCCAAAATAATGCGAAAATAATGAAATATGATTATTCTAGTATGCATTCCCAGGTATATTATTCACGAACTTTTCTAAGTTATATGTATGCAAAATCAAAATAATTTTAGTCAAGTTAACAAGTTTTTGAATCGCAACCTGTCAACAACTCGACATATGTCAATTGCATATGTTCAAAACATATAGTTAAGCTGTTCTAATNCGCAATTCACGTTATAGTCGGGATCACATTGCTATCGATTAATTTTTTTTGAGAGTGCAATTTAAAACAACTAATTTTTGAAGATATAAATTGATAATTTTATAATCTTTCAAGGTGCAAACAACCATTTACCCTCATAATTATGAGAGTTCAAGTGTAAACAGTGAAACTTACACTTGTGTAGAGATTAATATTTGTGGTCCCTCNGCATATGTTCAAAACATATAGTTAAGCTGTTCTAACCATATTGGCAGAATACAATTTTGATGTCAAGTTAAAGTCACCTATTTGTTTTAATTTTTCCTGAACTTTTTCATGGGAGCTGCCTCTTTGACATAACTAGGTTAAAACACCCAGGCATACCTGTATTCTTGAGGGACTTCGAACTTCAAAAGANATCATATTGGCAGAATACAATTTTGATGTCAAATTAAAGTCACCTATTTGTTTTAATTTTTCCTGAACTTTTTCATGGGAGCTGCCTCTTTGACATAATTAGGTTAAAACACCCAGGCATACCTGTATTCTTGAGGGACTTCGAACTTCAAAAGANCAAGTATGACCTTGTCATTTTGGCGTTTGAAGTTTCTGATTTGTTTCTAAGCGGTGATCCTAAAAGATTTTAACTTTTTCACTTTTTACCCTCAGAAATTAAAATTTTTACATCACATCCTACATATATTAAAGTATTATAATATAACTCTTTTGTTAGTTTTTTTGTCTGTAGCAATTGACAGACAATACACGAAAGCTGACCACACACAACATTATAATACTTTTGATACATTCAAGATGCAATGTGAAAAATTTTAAACTTGTTTGGTTAGATGATTTCAAAAACAATTTTACAATATAGAAAATAGTAAAACTTGTTTGGACAGTCTATATATATATTTGAGCAGTAATTCAAGCATTAATAAAAAAAATATAAAAAAATTATTTTTATATTGACAATTTCATAACATATATATATGTGTGTGTGTGTGTGTATAGAAATATGTATATATATTCCAAAATTTTCAAAGATAACTCTGAAAACAAACTACACTTATTTTCTGTTTCTTTGATTCAAATCTCATTTTTTTTCCCAAATTTTAAAGAACAAAAATGCTAAACAAATAGATTTTTAGTGTTTTTAAAATTTTGAGAACAAAAAACTGTTTTGCAGACGCTAACCAAACACGCCCTTAATTTTTAAGAGTACAAAGGAAAAAACTTGAAATCTTTTAGTGTGCAATACGAAAAAGCCCAAAAAAAAATTTCCCACAGAGTTGTATCCCCTTGGCCTAATTCCAGAAACCATCCCTATGTATACCTTGAACAAATCAAATGAGGTAACCAGTTAAAAAACAATTCACCTCGTATATAATTACGGAGATACAAGTAAATATAGTACAAGTGAACCCAAGATCTATAAAATCCACATGAAAATGAGATACCTGGCTACTGATCTAGAAGAGGACTTCCTTCTTTAGCAAGCACAAAAAGGCCACCATCCCCTCTCGAAATACGAAGATCCTTGTCAAGATACGTGACAAGAAGCCAAGATGCTGCCCGCTCGCCTGGAATAGGAATCTTAAGAGGAGATTGGCCAGAAATAGATCTTGCTATACCTGCCACAGCATCTTGCAGAGGATTGACTACCTGCCGTGCGGGTGACAAATTGATCTTCTGCCCAAAAAGATCAATGCTCTCTGGAAGATCAACACTTGACTTGATCTCTGGAGGCTTCAGGGTCCCTTCCTTAAATTGAACCTGCAGATTTTAGCCCCAATAAATCAAGTGATACACGGTGATGGAAAACTCCAATCTGTTGAGAAATCAAGGATCATGCAAAAACTGATTTTCCAGCCAGAATTGTAAACATTGGAGAATCATTCTCAACTCCTAGATAAAGGGCATTCCAGAGTGGAGCCATTACATATATCATGAACTTCCAAAATAATGCGAAAATAATGAAATATGATTATTCTAGTATGCATTCCCAGGTATATTATTCACGAACTTTTCTAAGTTATATGTATGCAAAATCAAAATAATTTTAGTCAAGTTAACAAGTTTTTGAATCGCAACCTGTCAACAACTCGACATATGTCAATTGCATATGTTCAAAACATATAGTTAAGCTGTTCTAATCATATTGGCAGAATACAATTTTGATGTCAAATTAAAGTCACCTATTTGTTTTAATTTTTCCTGAACTTTTTCATGGGAGCTGCCTCTTTGACATAATTAGGTTAAAACACCCAGGCATACCTGTATTCTTGAGGGACTTCGAACTTCAAAAGAAGCAGAAGCACTAAAGGAGAAGCTAGCAACCGGACTGGACAATGTGATGGAGTTCTCTATTGTAAGGCTGCCGGTGTTAATTTCTTGGCAAATCCTCTCAACCTTCAACAAAGGGATTGTGCCCACTGCCAGCAGAGGCAACAGCTCAGAAAATGCCGTATACCTGATCAATTAGAAATAAAATGAGCAGAGATTTGAAAAAATTAGCATTCCACTGGACAATAATACCATGTTGAAACACAAATATCTGCATGGTCTGAAGCACAATTAATTCATGCATTGGCATAGATACGGCCCGTGGCCCATGCAATGGTAGGGAGGCATACAAAAGCAGTCTGCCATTCATATATTTTGAACAAAATGCTTGCTTTTTCCATTTTCATGATTGGACATAATGATGCAGGATTGAGCACAAAGTTGGAAATGTACTAAAAATCCAGATAGAGAACTGAAGGTTTGAATTCAAAGAGATTGTGTCCACGGCCAGAAGAAGTAACAGCTGAAAAAATGTCGTGTACCTGATCAATTATATGAAAATAAGGATAGATTGAATAACAAATAGCATACCACGTCAATTCACTTCCAAGGAGTTCCTGTCTGAGGTTTGCCATTTGTTCTCGTTTATTCAAATGAATGCAAATAAACTAACCAGGAACACCGGACATTCATATCACATTGAAATACAAAAATCTGCATGATTTTACTGAAGCACAGTTTCCCCATGCATTAGCACATATGCCCTGTGGCCCATGCAAGTGGTAGGGAGGCATACAAAAGCAGTAAATATATCTGGAACAAAATTCTTGCTTTTTCCACTTTGATGATGCCCATTGGCTTTGCAGCTCCACACCTCAAAAGGATCCCCAGCCTATTTTTGTTTCCTCATCCTTACTAAATTGTAGTTAATATAGATAGACTGATGGGCATAATCATGCAGGACTAAGCACAAATATGAGAATGTACAAAAAGTTCACCTAGATATACTTAGTACTGAAGGTATGAATTCAAAAATGACTGGAAATATGACTTGGAGGAAAGAAAAACTAGATTCCAATACTTTTCTTTAATAGATGAAAAACCAGATCATGATGCTTACCACAATATTCACATCATACTACCAGCCCAGCAGAGTTTCCTCCTCTGGCAGTTCATTTTTTAGCCTCTTTTTTGGGGTTCTTTTATGAAAGAAGAGTAATGCATGCACGTTAAAATATTATCTTCACACCAGCATGTGTTGCCTTGTCCAATCATACGTTTTTACTTCACAGCAATTACTCAACTGTCCACCACCTTTTTGAATTTTTCACAAGAATATATTATGCACATTGCATGAGAGGACAAGATAGTAAGAAAAGTTAGTAGGGATGTAGATGATTGAACTATTCATGAACAAGTGGGCTCAGTCAAGCAAAAGGCTTGCTCAAGCTCATGCATAAAACAAGTGAGTCGAGCTCAACTGTTAATTTAGACATGTTTAATTAATGAACATGGCTTGCTCCAACATGCAAACATAGTGGAACGGGCAACTTTATTGTTTGTGTAATTATTCCCTACATGTGCCAGGAAGAGGTGTGCACATACATAATCATTTGCGTGAATCCAAGTAATAGTTTGCATAGATTCCATGCTGATGTCGTCCATGTCATATCCTCAGTCATGACATTATGTGTTTGAATTTACATTTGAAGTTGGAACAATCACAAACAAGATAAACAGGGCTGCCGCATAAAAGTACAGGATATCTAAGACGCACTCACTCAAATCTAAGCCGCTAGGCTAGCGAGCCTAACAAGTAAATGCCAAAACAAACTTAACAGAGGTTTTGTGGATCAATTCAAACTCAAGCACCCCCAAATTCTGCCAATCCAAGCTCGAGCATGCTACTATTTGACTCTCCTTATTCGTTTGCAGTCCCACATAAAGTAAGAAATGCACAATATTTAATGAAGTCCTAAAAATTAATTGTTAATCAAGCACATGTATTAGTCTTGGTGGTTAAATCTGGTCTATGTTCTTCCAATTTCCACATGGATCGTGTAGCATCTGTCTCCCTCATTTGTGACATCCTTCCTTGTCCACCTTTAGTCCTTTGTTTGCACATTAATCTATAACTACCATCAATTAATTCCCCTCAGGAATGTTACTGCAATCTGTGAACTCACCAGCATTGAAATCCATGGTTCTCAAAGAACTTCCTACAAACCTACCAGACTTGAAATTTGGTAATGTCTTGGCATAGCCAATTAGGCAACTTAGTCTAATTCATCTTTCCCATTATATAATATGGAAACTGAAACAATAAGACTGTGTCTGGTTTGCACTTCAAAAAAAGTATATTAAAAATGTTTTTGGAAAGTGTTTTAGAAAACTGTTTTGGTGTTTTTTGTGACAAAAAACTTGTTTGGTTATATGATTCCAAAAACAGTTCTACGGAATATAAATAATAAAACTTGTTTATACAGAAACCCAAAAAATAATGAAAAAAAAAAATG